AACCAGTCTGTGATTCCATGATATACCATAGGAAGTATTTGTCTATTTTATTCTACTGTAATACAGCTAAGATTTGAAATGTTAATCTCTCTAATCCAAGTTACAACTACCTACATGTTTCTATGCAGAAATAGTACTTTATTATGTTATTAAACAGAATATTATGTTATTATTATCTCAACTGTTATTAAACTCTAATTTGAATCCCAACTATCATTATAGTTAAGAGTAATAGAATTGAAACTTTTTTTTTCTTAATCAATGTAAAACATGTACTAGCAAATCCCATTCCAGTTACAAAGACAAATGAAGCATCAGGAGGATGAGCACTGGTAAAAAAAAGCAAACCAAAATTTTGTGTGGTAAGAAGCATCATAATATTTGCAATTCAATATAACTTTATGATTTGGGGATTTTTTTTTTTAATAGAAATAGTTTTACTTGTGTATCTCTAACTGTCTTTAATGTCAGCTACTCAAGTAGCTACAGCTAGATTACAGCAACTAGTAGTAATCTATTTCAATGAAATTAGAGGGAACTTGTGCTCTATTTTCTCGCTACAGAGAAGCATCAGAGACTGAACAGAATGAATAAAAGTTTACTTGAATATACATTTTGCATTTGTTTTAAGCAAAAGCAGATACAAATTGGAGGAATCATAATGCCTCATAGCTTGCTTCTTATAAAATCTTGCCTAGGGAATTTCATTGTTTAGCAACACATGAGTACAAAGCATATACATTTTGAGCACAGATGGCTTCCTAACTGAGCACTCACTTGTTTTCATTACTGTGCTGTAATATCACAAATCTTTCATATTTGTTATGTTAAGATGCTAATGTGCCAGACAAGTCACCTTTTCCTGAAAATACTAGGATTTATCCAAGTGCAATGCATGTTGACTGAGCAAGACCATATACTTTATTTGTAAATGTTAGCACAAATTCAAGCAACTTGAGAAAATATGTAAACATCTAGTTGTGGCAAGATGGTTACTTATCCTCTAAAAGATTTGGAAATACTGTCATTAGAAACATCTGTGGAAAAAACCTGTAAGTTTCTAGCTGTTCTTTCACTAGAAAAAACAGACAGCTTAGCAGATCACTTGAGATACTGAGGGGCAAACCCAAATATATTTCCATTACATATGCTGAATAGTTACTCTGGAATAGTGGTGGTCTCTATTTAAAAGCCAGGAATTCCTAAAAGTATCTATAACAAAAACTTACTTTTATCTTAAAATACCATGAAAAAATAAACAAATAAATTGCAGAATGTGTTAGGCAGCTATACTGATATTTATGGATGCTCTCCTGATTATTTCTGACCTTTATGGCACTAATAAGGATTTGTTTGTCATACTGCTGTTACAACTGTTAGAACAAAGATTGATGTGGAATGTACACTGATGTTCTTGTGACTTCTACAGCAAATCAACTAAACATAACTTCAAGCCTTGAATTTGTCCAAATGTGCAGAAAAATGACTACAATCACCTTATCTGTCCTACACAAGAGTTACGCTTAAAAAGATATTCAAGTTCGGAGACTGCAATGCAGGAAGAAAAAATGTAAACCAGTTAGACCTGGAATAGCAAAATTTATTTCAGCTCTTGAAAAGACAATAAAGTATAAACCCCAAATTAAAATTCTGTGTTAGAATGGATTTTAAAGCTTGTTTTAAAACTGTTCCAGCTTTGTGCATGTCAGCAGTGAAAGTAGCTGCTTCTGTACCCTCCCTTACCTTTAGGTATACTTAGTGTTTTCTATTTGCTGATAAAAGTTCTGATGTGCAATTAGTACGTAAAGAAATGGGTAAACAAGCACTGAAACTTAAGGCAATGGCTTTATAAATTACAGATCACTTGTATAACCACTTCCTCTAACACAGGAAGACAAAGACTAGTACTTGCCACTTCTGATGTAAATCAAATCATGTTATACCTCATATCATCATGATACTGTAACTGTAAAGTCAAAATATAAAGTCTCGGTACAGAATACAGAGCTGTTGCACACCTGCTCCGTCAACAGGCACAAAAAGGAAGAAAATTTACTCATCCTGTACAATTTGTAGTATGAGATTATTCTAACTGGGCGGCCATCTTGTACTTGCCCATCTGATTCACAAGCCCAACTATGTAAACACCATTCTTTCACACTGATGTTTATCCTTTAAACAATTCCCAGGATTCTTCCTAATTTGCTAGCTCTCTCTGCCCATAATCTACTTCATGTGACTTGTCTTGCGTTGTGACCTTGGTCTGCTATAATCTAGACTAAGTTCTTACATTCAATTTTGTTCAGTCTCTAAAGTCTCATGGTAACTTACACCATTAAAAATGTTTCAACCAGGTTGTTAAAGTTTTGCAGGGAACAACAGCCCAGAGCAGTGGCTACTTGTTCATTTAAGATATTTTTCAAACATTGGACGTTAGGACATCACTTTACCATGCCAGAAAATGTACATAATACTGTACACTCAAAGACTGGTGCAATGAAATGTTTAAAACATATCTGAGCTTCCAAAAGTACATGTTAAAATCTGTTGACCAATGAAGATTACTATTCCACTTTATGTACAGTGGCAATTCAGTCAGTAATATTTGCTTTGACTTGCCTCTCACTGAGACTGGCTTTTTGGGCCTTCTCTTCCAGATGTGCAAAGCTGGCATACTTCCAGTCAAGGGGCTTGAATAGAAAGGTTAATGGGCAGCAGAAAAGCTCCTAAGCTTACCTCTTAGTTTGGATTCCCTGAATAATCTGTGGTGTTTTGGTACAAACACAAGTGTGGAGCAATCCTGCAGCCTGCAAGTGACTGAGATATGCAATGCCTCGGCTGTGTATGCAGCGTGCCTCCATGACTTCATGAAACCAGAGTACTGCACAGAGCTAAAAATACAGTGGCTTGTCAGACTGGATAATGAAGGATTCTACAGCCAGATACCTAGAAGGTCATCAACTATCCATGTTGCAGTCAACGTTCCTTTTTTTCTTTCTCCCTTAAATTGACTTGATTCTTAGAAACTGATGGTAATCCAACTGAGGCAATTCAAATTACACAGTTTGAGTATAAGCTTTTTCAATTGTTTTGGGTGCATGTGATGCTTATTTTAGGTTTTGTAATCAATGCCTACTTACGATATTGAAATGAAAGATGTGGATTTAAGCATCTTCCTAAACTATGTTCTTTAAGACTCTTTGAATTATAGACTCAATTTAAAAAATATCACCTATGAAGAAGCAGCTTTGTGTAAATGCTGCCACAGGAAGTAGGAACCCAAAACTTACAACTCCAGCATTCTTGTAAACTTCTGCCTCTTGACAAGCTTGATCAATGATCTGGGTCAACGGAAGAGAACTTCTTGGTGTCCCTGCAAGAGTAATGCTGCTTACTCAAGGCATGCACAAACCAAAACCACATACAGCAACAACTTTCAGGTTAACTATGGAGATTGGCACACTGAAATAGAGAGAAATAGAATAAACTTGCTGCAAGGTTGCTTATGCCGTGCCTTAGTGGCTACTCTTTCGTTAGCTGAACTTGTCAGGTTTGCTGTAACTGTTCAGCACCTAAATGTGATTGACAAACTTGATAAATACCTGCTGTAATCTCTTATTGTACCCGATCTGCTCTTGGCTTGTTATTCCTGTACTTATTATATATAGGCTACCCTGCATTAGTGATGTTCCGTGCAATATAGCCTACGGCAAGACCAATCTCTAGGTCTGTGGAATACCTGTGCTAAACACAAGTCAATTTAAAATTATGCAAAGCTATCTTTAACTCTATTCTGCAAGGTTGATTGTATCTGAACTTTGGTGTGTTTCATAGCAGAAATGAACACACATGGATTTTGCAGATTTCAGTGAGTTTCACTTAAGAACAGCTCCAAAGCCTTTTCTGATGCTTGGGCTCCTAAAGCTGGGCACTCGGAGTCTGAAATGTGGGCTGTGAAGAGCTCTCTGGCAGCTTGGTTACATGGTCTGGTTTCATGGAAGGCTGGCCATACTGCCCAGAGCCTGCTTCTGGGAAAATGTGGAGCTTGGTGAGCTCTGGGCACCAGCCTGTCAAGGGGATCTGCGAGAGCTCTACCTGTCCCAACACCCCCTTTGTATGATTTTATAACCATTGCCTCCTCAAACACGGCTCACCAAAACCACCCCGTGCTGCCTGTGCTCCTCACGCAGGAGTGCCTCCTGCCTCTGCTACTGGAAAAGGGGAATGCTGGAAAGGGGAATGCGCAAACCTATGGTACTTCATCAGGGGCCTGGGGCGGAGGCCTAATACTCCCGGGGGAGCAGGCCCTTTCCCGGGCCGCAGCCAGGCTGACAGGTGCCGCTGCCGAGGGCGCCGCCGCTCACCTGGCAGCGCTCCCAAGTGCACCACCCCGACGACCGCTGCCTTCAGCCGTCCGAAGAGGCTGGGTAGCAGCATCCCTGCGGGGAGGGAAGGAGAGAAGAGATCAGGGCCGGCGGGGGGGGGGGGGGGGGGGGGGGGGGGGGCCCCGGAGGCGGCCCGCCTCTCGCCGTGGACAGGCCGGGCCCGTTCCCGCTCACGGACGGGGCTGCCCGGCCTGCTGCCACAGCTCCGTCCCTTCCGCTCCCCGCACCTCGGGTCACCTCACCCCGCCACCGGTATCCACCTGCGGCAGCCCTAAGCGCTCCTGCCGCTTCCGCGTCGGTGCCGCCGGCCCCGCCCCCGGCCCCGCCCCACCCCGCCAGTCCTGTCGCGGGGTCCCGCGGCGCCCTGTGCAGCTCCCCGGGTCTCGCCGCCGCGCCCCCCGCAGACCCCGCCCCGGCCGCTCTTCAGAGCAGAGCGCGGGGCCACGTGTGCGGGCGGGCGGGCGGGGAGGCGGCCCCGCGCCGCTCGTTTAAATGTCCCGCTCGGCGAGGGTTGCGCTGTGCGTAGGGACGGGAGCGGCCGCGCCGTGAGGCAGGAGGCGCCCAGCGGAGCCCGCCCGCGCCGCGCTCCCGCCCTGCCCCCGCGCCCCGCCAGCGCTGCCCTGGGTACCCAGATACCCTCCGCTCTGGTCCGGAGCGGAGGCGAGCGACCGAGTGCGGGTGCTGCTGGGCAGCGGGTGGTGGGTGCCCCTGTCGCCTCCTGGGGTGACCGACTGCGGGGTTGGGGGAGCCGGCGGCGCCGGCCCGGGGCTGCGGCCGCCCTTTTCCGCGCTGTGCGCCCGCGTCTCTGCGGCTCTTTGTGGGGGCTGAGGCTTGGGCCTGCTCGGCTGATCCCCACACAGCGTTCCGCTCGCCCCGACCAGTTCCAGGCGGGCACCATGCGCCGGGAGAGGTAAGTCTGCTTGCTGGTCCCGCCGTGCGCGGGGCCCTCTAGGCCGAGGTCTCCGCAGGCACCCCTGAGGAGGCTCCTCGCTGCCGCAGCTCCCTTAGCTTCTCCTCTCTTGGCAGTGACTGCTCGGAGGAGAAGGCGCCCGCCAGTGGGGACGGGTCAGCTGAGAGCTCCATGCGAGCCCGCAAGAGGAAAGCTGATGTGGCTACGGTGAGTGTGGGCCCGCCCGGCCCAGCCGCCCACCCTGATGCCCGCAGGCCGGCGCCTGCTCTGCTGCCGGGCTTGGCCTCCGAGCCCTCGCCTCCTTTTGTTGGGTGTCTGGAGGCCATGTGGTGGTCGGGTGTGGGGTGGCTGGGGGGTCTGCTGCGGGACTGTGGTCCTGAGGGACCAAGCACACGGATGCTCGTCCTGTGGTTTGTGCTTCAGAAACTACATGTTACTTTTGGTAGTTCTTGCAGGATCCTGATGAAGAAGTTGCAAATATGGAGCTGACAAGAAAAAAACAGTGTGAAAACCAGGTAACTCATTTGTCTTTAGATTGGACAGCTGTAATCTTGTTTAACCTTATTACTACTTTGCAGTACCCTATTCTTGCAAACGTGGTAAAAACAGGTATATATAGGTGCCCATGCTGTATAGCAGTGGGCGAGGGGGACTATCAACGCTGGCTGATGAAACATGCAAAACACTTCAGTCTGTACCAGTTGCTCTTGAGTCTTTACAAGAGATGGGGCCCCTGTTGGTCTAAAGTATTGTTAATACTTCACTATAACCAATTATCCTGGGATTGCAAGGGTGCACCTTACAAAAGCCTTCATTTGCCTTTAGTTCTATGTGGAGGGGTTCTGCACTGACCTCTTTAGAGAGCTGCAGGAGTACAGTAAGTGCTTACGTGCTGTACTTTGCAGGCCAAAGCACAAGACCCTTAAGCATACAAGCAGAATCATCTTTTGAGGTGGCTCTCTTCATAGTCATGTCTTTACTTGTATCATATGGGAGAGAAGGATCCCCAGGACACTTTCTACTGTCTGCTCCATTCACATTGACAAGGGCCATTATTAGACTGACAAAAAGTAAGGGCTTCCTGATCAGAACTTTACAAAGTTTTTAGTAGATGCTAATGGGAAAATAAAATAGGTTTCCTTTCCCTGTGAAACAAAGGGATAATTTCTATCAAGTCACTTACCTGTGGAAATCAGGCCTGCAGTGGAGGTTGGTGGTGACCGTTGCCAGCTTTCTCCATAAGTCATCCTGAAAGATCTGAGTTAGTTAAAACTAACTTTAGTAGTATCCTCTTTCCCCCCACTCCTCTCCTCCCCCTGCCCCTGATGCCCTTTCCATATTCTTCAAAACTGAGGTGCTGTTGGTACCTATATCAGATGTTGTGTTGGTACACAGTATTGAAAGCATGATGCTTTTGTATATCAACATGCCCACTCTAAATAAAGCAGAATAGCCTGGTTTCTGAAACAGGTTTAACTCCTGCTCTTCCTTCCCCTCCTCTCCGCCCCCTCCCCCATTTTTTTTCCTGCATGTATACACACACACACACTTGCTTAGTCAGTGGCACTAAAACTTCAGGCTGTTAATGCACATGCAGGGTGATACTTAAGCTGTAAAAGTCATGATCAGGGAGCACAGACCATGCTCATTTGGTACGCAAGGCTATGCATAATGTGGCACATGTAACCAGAAGTGGCAGCTGGAAGTTCTAAGACTTAAGTGCTACCATAACAGATGGGCATCATTGTTTGGAATGGCCTCTGCTTGTTGCAACTGCGTATACTAGTTATCAGTCAACATATTAAGCAGGGCTCAAATGGTGAGCATTTAATGAGGGGATCTCTCCTTCCCTTCTGTCTTTCTCTTCTGTGGTATATTAAACTAATTTCTCACTTCTGACAAGGAAGAGCTGCCTGTCCTTCACCACTGCTTTCTCCTTCACCAAAAGATTCATTCCGCTTGATCTAAGCTAAGTTTGATCTACCTCTTCTTATGCATGTTTATTGCATAATAATAAGGTATTGTTAAAAACCTCACAGGAGCCCAATTCCACCTTCTTTCATAAAGACAGTGAAAGAAACTTGAAGTGTTTTCTATACATTTGCCTTCAACTTTGAAAGTAGATAAAGGCTTTCATTTCTGTGTTCCCAGCCTGGTAGCCATTCAGAGTTAGTTTGGGAATGATAGGTAAATTAAAATGTAGATAATTTAGGCATCCATAAAGTAGGCATCCAAAATATTTGTGATTTTTTTTTTTTAGAAGTTAATTTTATAATACTGGTGTGATTTGCCCTTTGATTTTGTAACCCATAAATAAAATGTGTACCTGTGTATCAATCCCTATGCACAGGGTTTAGTTTTTTTTTTTTTATTGTGACAAAGTAGCCAGATTGTTACAGATCTGGTTTAAAAAAAAAAAAAAAAATAACATTTGGCTGCACAGCAGCAGCTCTTGAGTCTGTGGTGTGACACAAGCTATTCTGATATAAATTGCCATGGGCCACTAATGAGAATATGTTTATGGTTCCAGCAGCAGTATAGCAGGCTTGTATGATAGCCAGTGAGACAGCTATTTTGTTGAGGCATAAACAATTCTAAAATGCAAGTAGCTATAAATCCACTGCAGCCTATACCACATGATATCTACATTAAAATAAATTGTTTACTGACACTAGTTTATACACAAAGCAAAATATCATAGTCGCATCCCACTTTACGGCATCTTCATAGTCAATTCATTAGTTTGTTTCTGTTGCACATAAGGCCTGAGTTCTTAATTAGGATGCTGTTACCATTTATGTGATGAAAGAGTGGCTATATCATAAGGTTTGTGACAGCAGAATATTGCCTAAATTCTATGTTTGATTTTAGAGGACTGGCACTGCTGTAATTCTGCTAGTAATTCTCCTTCTAATTCTGGCTGCTTTCTGTGGATGGATACACTTCCAAGGGTCCGTGTAAAACAAAATTAATCTAGCTAGATTAGAGTCATCCATGCAATCGTGATATAAATTATATGGCCACCTCCATATAGAGTGGAGAATTGACTATAGAGGCTTGTTTTTTTAATATGAAACGAACTAATTTTTTCAGGTGAAAAGAAGATGAAGTAAACTCTCAGGAAATAGGTTTGATTTCTCATGAGACACTTTTCCAGGATCTGGTCTTACTGTTGTCAGGATGTTCCACCTAACAGGTTTGAAAATATTCTCCAAAAAGTTTCTTTAACCATCCTAAGTTACCTTTGAAAAATCCAATTTAAACAAACAAAACAACCTCCCTCAAAAGCGGCTTACAAATCTTCAGGCAAACAGATGTGAAAAGAATGTAAACTATATCCAGATTGAGGTCTTGACTTGGCCCTAATCTGGGGTAGGACAATATTCAGACTCTTTAGAAAATTAAATGTAGTAGAAGCACCACTGCTATTTAGAAAGAACTGAAACAACTTAATAATGTGAGTTGTTCTTCTCTCTCCTATTTATTAATTCTGGAATCTTTCTGATGGCAAAGAAAAACCCTATACTTCAAACTAATGTATCCTATGAAAGAAAAATATCTAGAATTATAGGTCTTCTTATTTCTGACAGACAAACTAAGGCTGCAGTCTAGTAACTGGTATCGATGTCACTGTTACAAGGCGCTGTTTTTTAGCTTGGGGCAAACAGGCCTGTCCCCTTCCTGTTCCTTTCCCTTCAATTTCCATGCTGGAAATCCTTGCTGTTTCAATGGAGTTGAAGGCACCCTTTTCCTCTGCTTTCCTGCTGCCCTCTTTGCCCTGACTCAGAGCTTGTACTGGTGGGTTCCAGCTCACGTTGAGGTGCAGGAGTATCAAAGCAGCTTGTATTCTTAAGTGTGGCTTCTTCACTGAAGCCTTTGCCTGGCCTGTAACCTATATCCCTAGTGTTTACTGCCTCCTCCATGTTTTTGTCTGGCCTCTATGCTTGAAGGATGTCCAAAAGATCTGTTTAAATGAACATTTGACATATCAGTGAGTGACAGCATGCTGCAAAAAACTGAGGAATAGGAATATCTGAGCTTTTAAGAAAGCACCCCTGAACTCCTGTCTTTTCTTTGTTTGGAGCTGTATGTGCTTGGCTGCTCTTGTCACCTTCCAATCTAGTTCTCAGGATGGAGAACTTTACCTCTGGACAACCATTCCTATTTCTGTGTCGAATACTACTGTAGGTATCCCCAACCTTTCTTGCTGGGCTCCATATAGATTTGTAGAGGCAGGTTTCCCCACTGATTTTTGGCTTGCATCCCACTTCAGCCCCTTGCCTAAGAAGTAAGCTGAGGACTGTAGGATTTCCTCTACAAGGCAGCACAGATTCTCTGTAACATCTGTTGCTTTTTGGCAGCTCTCTGCTGTCAGGTTGGCACTGTGCAAGCCCAAAGGAAGCTCTTTGTGGTTTCCTCATGCCCTCCCCACCTTAAACTGTTTCTTTTTGCAGGGGTGGCTCCTGCTTCTTTACAGTTACAATGTGATGTAATGCAGTTTCTTGATACTATTTCTTAATTTTGGTCGAATATCTTGCTAGATAGACTCTTTTAAAGAGTCAAGAGTCTGATTTACAGTGATGGTGCTCCTTCACCAATGCTAATTCAGACTCCTGTCTCCTTTCCCAATAGCTGCCCTCTTTTGAGGCCCCTGCATGTTTCCTTCTTGTCCTTTGCTAAGCCAAATGCTTTTTTCGGTTGCTTGCATCTCTTTCCCAGTTGTTGTGGTGAGCAACATTATCTAATCAAAAACTTCATTTTCATTTCTTAAAATACCTAAGAGGCTCCTGACCCTTTATTTCTATTTTCTTATTGAAGATTTTGGGGGGGGGGGGGAGGGGAGGGGATCTCTTAAGTCAGTCCTGCTGCCATGTAGCATGTGAGACACCTACTTTGGTTGAACTCAGGACAAAGCAGCTCCCTTCCTCTTCAGAAGATGCTGGTGTAGTAGGCACCTGCTGTTCTATTGGTTTGATGATTAGCTGTTAAGACAGCACTTCTCCAAAGGCTGTTGGTAGCTGGGCTTGCCATGCAGTTTGAAGAATAACATGTGACTGAATTCTAGTTTTGAGAGAGGACAAAAATTAACTTCTAACAATGCTGATGTGACACTTAAACTTTCAGTTTGTAGGGACTCTGTAATTTTTAAGGTAAAGATAGTATTCCCTCTTTTTGCCTTACCCCACCCAAATTAAATTGTGGCATGGCTGGCTATGTAGCTATGCTAGATTTGCATGTAGAACTCCAAGGAGAAAAGCTATCCGTGTTTCTGTAACTAAAAAGTACAAAGAAGTCTTAGTTGCAAGTGAACTGTGAAATGTGTTGGGTTTTTTTGTTTCATTAAGTCAGTAGTTTCTGTTTCTAAAGCTGGTGCTAGCAAGTAGCCATTTTGCTGGGAAGTGATGTCATTTGTAGCAAGGATGGCAAAAATCAGGTGTGGAAGCTTCCTTGCTAGAGGCGAAACTTCATGTAAAGCTTTTTACTTGTTAGCACTTGATGATTGTTCTTATTATTTATTTTTCTTAAAGCCCATCAGAAATCTTGTTAGGGAGTTCTGTCCTTTTAGTGGTGCAGAACAGATCAGCTTGCAGCAACATGGCTGGCTTCACTGTTAGGCAGAAAAGCCAAAATTTTGATTTGCTTAGGTATGATGACATGGGGCTGGTTTTGTTTTCTACTGACAATTAGAATAGTAATATTTTTCCTGGGTAGCTGCATGAAGTGTACACCAAGGTCTTTGTTAAACAGAGTTAGGCAGGAGAAAGGTGAACATCAATTTTAGTTCTGGTTCAAATAAAAGTAAAAGGATACTGTGGGTGAAGTGTCAGATGTCTGATGCTGGCAGACCTGGCCATGTATATTAATGTACATGAAAAGGTCAACTTGATGCTTTAATGAGAACTTATTAATATGTACTTGCTTTATTCTGAAAACATTTGTGTCATATGTGCTTTGTTTTTCCATCACTGCTGGATGAATGGGTAAATGATTATTTTGTTGTCTTCATTGTCAGGGTTGCTTTACATGGAACCATGGCTTCCAGTGTTTCACCTACATATCCCTTACCAGAAATCCTGAGGTTTTTTTGGGTTTTAAGGTTCCATCTGCTTATTCTTTATCTGTAGGCAAGCATATTTCTGGTAAAAACTAAGTGCTACATTACAATAGGAGACTCTGATTTGGATATTCTTCCTTGAAATAGTTGTGGTCCTTCAAAAGGAGGACAGGGTAAGTGTTTCTCAGCTTTAGTTGCAAACTCATCACTGGTGAGGCCACACCTGGAGTGTTGTGTCCAGTTCTGGGCTCCTCAGTGCAGGGGAGTCCAGCAAAGGTCCACTAAGATGATTAAGGGACCACAGTGTGTTTGTTATAAGGAAAGGCTGAGGGAGCTGGAACTGCTTAGCCACGAGAAAAGAAGGCTTGGGGAGATTTTTGCCAGTTGCATATAAATACCAGAAGGGAGGATGTAAAAAAGATGGAGCTAGGATCTTTTCCTTGGTGCCCAATGGCAAGAGCCATCTGGATGTAGTCCTAGGCCACTGGCTCAAGGTGGCCCTGCTTGAGCAGGGATGTTGGACAGTATGTCACACAGGTCCCTTCCTGTCTCAACAATTCTGTGATTCTGTGTGGTTTAAAGAGGTAATCACAGATCTTGTCATAGTTTTTTTTGGCCAATGTCTTCTATTTACAGCTAAAATGATTATTTTAAAAGGCACACTGTAAAATCTTGTGTTTCATTTAACAGCCATCCTGGAATACTGATCCCAAAAATGCCCATATGCTGATTCCTACTCCAGATAAAGATGATGATCCAGTTGGTGTTGATTATTCTCAGTTTCCACACCTAAGTCTTGTTCGAACTAGAGTTTCACCATTACCAGTTCTTGGGTAAGTGCTGTTTTGCTGCTGCTAGTTTGCCTTCCTTTTTTGTGATTTGAGACTAAACATTGATCTATCTTAGCTGGGCAAACAGAGATGATGTATGGAAAAACATGATGAAAAAAGAGGAGACGTATGTGAGGGATAAATTTTATATGCAAAGGCACCCTCTCCTGCAACCTAAAATGAGAGCAATCCTTCTAGACTGGCTAATGGAGGTAAGCTTTTCCGTGCTTGTATTTCAAGTGTGCTTTTGTTGAAGTGTACTAACAACTGTCATGAGTTCACATAATGATATTTGCATAACCCATTTAATATTAGGCACTCATCTTCATCTTGAAGTTTGTCAATGAATGGCACCAAACTTTTAAAAAGTATATATAACGGATTGTGTTGATGGTGTACAAACTGACAGTATTTGCTGTTGCTCATTGATAGATTGATAGTGAATAACAATAAACTTGTCCCCAGAGTGATATGAGCTTTTTAAGGTCACACAGTAGATAAAAGCTGCAGGAGTGATTACGATAGTTCTTGTGAGAAGGAAGATGTGTGGTGGTTTGGAGATCAGATGCATCTTGCAACCTCTCTATCTGTTATTTGCCACATAGAATGTAATACAACTCTACTGTCTGTATGTGAGTCTTTTTTTGCTGTTCAGATGAATTGGCAGCATAGTCTGTTCTTAATTCTGAAGGATTTGTGAGAATTTTCTCTTCTGAGGTGTTGGAATGATACAGCTTTGCAAAAATGAGGAACTGATGTTCTGACATTGTTAGGACATGTGCTTGCATTTCCTAAAAGGATATTCACTCTGATCTCTTTTTTTTTTTTTTTTTTGGGTGGGGGCAGTTACTGTAGTGACAGTCACCTTGTGTCAAAGGAAACTGTTTAACTCATGCTCCTAGTTAACATATTCCTTCACAATAGCAGTGAATCAGAAAGCCAATATGGATGTTATGTTTAGCTTTTGATTTTGTTCTTTAATACATCTGTAGCATCTGGTTTTGACTCTGCAATACTGTTCTTGACCTTTGTAATCTCTGATGTCTCTCCAGGTTTGTGAAGTCTACAAGCTTCATAGAGAAACTTTTTATTTAGCACAAGATTTCTTTGATCGGTTTATGGCAACACAACATGATGTTGTAAAAACACTATTGCAGCTTATTGGTATCTCTTCTTTATTCATAGCAGCAAAGCTTGAGGTAAGTATCTCCAGCTTTACTTAACCATAAAAATGTGAATGGGCAGAAAGCACACTTAGTGTACACTAGATGGGTTTTGGCAGGCTTTAGGGAGTTTGTTGTGACACTTCAGTTGGAAGACAAAGATACTTTTTTTTTTTTTCAGTTTCTCCTGGTTTTTTAAGAAGTGTCTACAACCAGCTATCATCACAGTATATCTGTAATTTTAAAAGGATAATCTTTTCAGTGTTAAAACAAATCTGAACTTTTTAATTGCAGTTGGTGGGTTTTTGGCTGGCTGCTGTATACAGAGACTACCTGTTGCAATTCTGTTGTCAGTGGAGTACCTACTGGATAAGAGTCTGAGCTATTCTTTATTTACTCGAACAAATTCAACTGTTAAAATACATAGTGCTTTTTAAGTTCTTAATGTTTGTCTTTTAAGAGAGCTGTTATTCTTCAATCTGTTATTCTCCAGCAAGAGTTAAGTGGCCTTAGGCTATATAAAAAAATCTTGATGTCAATTATGATGCCATCTCAGTGATGCTGTAGTCAAACCTAAAGCATGTTGTACTGGTGCATCAAAAGTGAAAGGTGAAGTCTATGGGCGGGAAGGTTGAACAAGAAATCTGGACATTAAAGGCAGAGGAGTACACCATGAGTTAGGATGGAGAGCTTGGTTCTTTTTTGATTTTTCCTCTGTTTTCAAATGCTGAGGTGGTGGTGCATTATTTTTCTTTTTCTCCCCCTCCCCCCCTTGTGTTTTTTTTTTTTTGAAAGCACTTAGAGGTTAGTTACTATGTATTATACAAACTAAATACTTGATTTCTTATCTTTCAGGAAATTTATCCACCAAAGTTGCACCAGTTTGCCTATGTCACAGATGGTGCTTGTACAGAAGATGAAATCCTCACTATGGAATTGCTCATTATGAAGGTATTATGTCAAAGTGGAATTAGTTCTACTTGAGTTTTTAAAAATGTATAGCATAATCAGACTAAAAGCAGAGAGCCTCAGTTTGTCTTATGTGCTGCTAAGATGCGCAATTTCTCTTACTAATTAGAAAATATTCTCTAGGTAACAAGTAATTTAAAGCATCCACCAATATGTGTGTGTTAACAATATTAATTGTTCCCCACCCTATCAGCAGGAAGAGGTATAGGAGAGGACTAGATTTGTGTGTTTCAAAGATGCCTTGACAATTGGAATTACAGCTTCTGGTCTAGAGTAAATATAGTTGTGTGGTTTAAGTTGGGACCTCTTTATTAATACTGAAGTCTTGTGAATGGTTACTCTTTCAGGCTCTCAACTGGAACTTAAGTCCACTAACAGTTGTATCATGGCTGAACATTTACCTGCAAATTGCATATTTAAACAAGCTTTATGAGGTATTGCTGCCACAATATCCACAGCAAATATTTGTACAAATAGCAGAGGTAAGGCTGATTTATTATTTTTTTTCCTTCAAATGCTATTTCACCTGGAAATAAAGTGTTCTTGTCATAGATTTATTAAGCATCTGTTGTCTTGTAGCTCTTGGATCTCTGTCTGCTGGATATTGGCTGCTTGGAATATACATATGGAGTACTTGCAGCTTCTGCTTTGTATCACTTCTCCTCATCTGAGTTGATGCAGAAAGTTACAGGTATTGGCATTTGTAAGCTGAGTCTAGTGTGTTTACAAACATTAAGTCTTCATTCAGACAGATAACCATATGCCTTTGTCTTCCAGGTTATGAATGGTGTGAGGTAGAGGAATGTGTAAAATGGATGGTTCCGTTTGCGATGGCAATAAGGGAAGTTGGAAGCTCCAGACTCAAACACTTTAGAGGTGTAGCTCCTGAAGACATGCACAATATACAGACACACATAAATGGCTTGGATTTGCTGGTATGTATGTGCATAATGAAGAAAAAAATCTATCTGTGGAATCTTCAAGTATTGTTTCTTCTTTGGTTAGAACATACAGTAAACTTAAGTGAAGCATTACTAGATAGGTACTGAGTGTATTCAGGTAATAAAAGGCACAAGGTTGTACTCCAGTTCCAAAATTCTTCGGACAGTCTTGTCTTGGGACTGACTTGTTCTGTGTTTTCATAAAAAGGCGATTGTGACTTAAGTCTCTCATCTCAAACAGCAAATAATTACCCTAGAGATCAGAAGTTTATTTCTACCCTTTGGAATACCTCAAATACTGTGCTGTACCTTTCTCTCTAGAAAATGCAGGTCATGTAAATGTGTCTGATGAAAAAGAAAATACTGACACTTGAAGAGTGATCTTATGAGACTGTTTCATGACAGTGACAGCTGACAAGAAGTTGAGCAAGAGTAGTTTTTAGCATGAGAAACTTGCAGAGGATCAAAATCTTGTCCAGCAAATTGTAGTTAATGTTATCTTTTTTTAATTTAGATTATTTATAAGTTATTTAATAGAAGTTAAAGTTCTTCCTGTTCAGTTGGTTCTGAATTTTGCCTTCTTTAAGATATATGTACCATAATGCTGATCATAAGGTTTGAAAAGTTAACGCTCATCTCCTGAAGTTTGTATTCACTAGCTAATATGTACCACATGATTTATTAGTTGCTGCTAGTGGGGTTAGATACAGAGATGAATTACATTGTTCTGTTGCACAGATATACCAAAGTAAAGATATACTGTTATCTCCTTTTCTTATGCTTTCAGGACAAAGCTCAAGCAAATAAAGCCATGTTGTCTGAGCAGAATAGAACTTCACCTTTCCCCACTGGTGTCCTTACACCACCACAGAGTAGTAAGAAACAGTCTTCTGGACCAAAGCCAATATGACTTTAGAAACAACAGTATTGCTGAAGTGCCTATTCTGCTGGTTCTAACTCCTGCTCCATTATGGACATGCTGTCAGTGAAGTTCGTTAAGTCTTTTTAGAATCTGAAAAAGAAACATTACTTTTTTTCATGACAGAAGAAATCTTCTATTTTAAATATTTTTATTGAACATCAGAATCTTCTAAAGAAGTGAGTCAAGTATACCAGCCGCTTAAAAGAACACCGAAGAGTGCTCCAAATGCTGCTACAGAGGGTGATGCTTGATGTGACCAACTGTTCAGGAAAAGGTTTGAAGTTTAGATTAGTTACTGTGCCTGTTAGTCCGTTGGATAATCTGCAGTCAGACTGTCCCCTGTTGACAAACAGGCAAAAAGTGCTGTGGAAGACAATGTTTCAAAGCCTCTTTCAAATGGTTGGCTTGCAACTTGATGCCTTTTAAAAACTCTTTATTGTAAATGCTGCTATGTCTCTACCCATTTAGAATAAAAATGCTGTCTAAGACAGCTAGTTTTATGTATATTCCTATTTTTCTTTTAATTATGGTCAGCTAAGGATTTTCAGATTGTGACCACTAGTAGTGTGGGAGTTGGGGATCAATAATGTAGTAACTGTCTCTTTATTTATTTACCACTACTGCTTATCAATTAAAACTTCCTTTTTGGATACTAAGATAAAATGGTCATGTTAGGCTACTTGGATTTCCCTTAGCCAGATGCAGGTGGCTAGGGAGGGGGATAAAAGACATGACAAGTATATGGGGAATGCTTCCATAGCACACTTCCTGATCAGTGTACTGGGAAATTCTTGAATCGGACTGTCTGTATTGTTATGCCTAATAGCAAGAAGTGATCAGTAGCAAAAGCTTACCTTTCCTTAAAACACAATCATTCAAACATTGGGATTTTGGCATAGTTGTTGACAATTATAGCCTTCTGTGCAAAGCTGAGTTGTGGAATGGTGTGTGCCTTTTGACAGGAGGAGTTGTCCTTCTTGACTTTTGCAAAATCTGAGAAATTAGAGTAAGATATTTTCTGAAAGACACAGTTCTGGAGAGAAGAACAGAGAAATAGAAAATTGGTTTTCTCAGGATGTTCACTTTGAAGGCCTGTTCAACAACACTGAAAACTTCTGTGAGAATACCAGGATTCATCATGTTGTTCTGAAGATAACTTAAGTGCTTCAACACTTTCAGGAAGCTCCTCTTGGTCATTTTTATAAACATAGTTCCCAGCAAGGCTGCTTTTTATTATTGTTAAGTTATTCTCCCTTTTTCTCTTCCCTGTCCCACTATTCTGTCAAATGTTAAAGCTTTAAGGTAATAAAAATGCCTATGGTAACTAATAGTAGGCAAATCATTTGTCTTTTTTTTTTTTTTCCTTTCCTTGCAGTAACTGATTGTATGTCCTGTGCTAACAAAATAAGTATAAATGTTAGCTGGACAAGTTTGGTGCTGCCAGTTCAGGGATGTTTTAGTTTTTTGGAGAGCTCTATGTCCTAAACACGGAATGTTATATTTGCCTGTTATAGAAAAAAATTGTAGCAGTGAAGGAACTTGTCAAGAGACATTTTAGCACTTTGTTTCAAATTTGAGTACACAAAAGCAGGGGCGAGGGAGGTGGCGATACACAATAAACCTCCAGAAATGTAGTTTCTAGGTTTAATTCCTATATCACCAGGTAATTTTGCTCATTTTTATAACTTCCCCTGAAAGGTCAACCTACTTCATTTTGATGGGAATCTGTTGTCTGGCCCCAGAGCATGGACATCACTGCTTTTGCAGCTTCCCAGGGGTGTGATACTTCCCAGCAGCAGTGACTTGTATGAAAAACCATTTTCTTACGTTCTGGTCTTTACCTTGTGCTTTAAGAATCTTTGTTTCTGGTTGTCTTGCATCATGTGTGGATGCTTACGTCTGTCTTGAGTGAAAAAACTATGTACTGGTTGCCACAGGCTGAAAACTATTTTAGGGAGGAACGGGGGAGCTAATTTTGAGAGAGAGTTGCCAATATGCGTGTTGGGGTGAGAACAAAACCAACCACAACCAAGCAAAACAAGTACAACAGGCAGTTCTGTCCATGTATTTATTATCTGAGGATCCCATTCTCTTAAGATCTTTCTGGTCACAGACAAGTCTGGAGGCAGACTCATGGCAGGTGGGGAAGAAGCAAGTGGGCAGCTCTGCCTGGCTGGAGAAGAGACAAAGGTTTAGTAGCTTTACAGGTGGGCTGAAGTTTGTGCCACTAGGATTAGCTATTATCAAAAGGTATGTTCTTGCAAGCAGCTGGGCCCATTGCATGAGGCTGCTTCTCCTGCACAGGAGTAGGGGGGACTCTGTGGAATGGGAGAACCCCAGGAAAGCAATGTAGCTGTGTGCTGCTCAACTGGAAACTGCTTCTCCCTCTAATAGCTACAGACCAGCATAAAGCATGCTGCAAAATAAATTGAATTCTGCAGTAACCCAGGTGGCATATAATTATCTTCCTCCTCCTGAAAGGTTTGTCATCACTATGTATCAAAACCTCACCTTGGTCTGAAAGCTGGGAGCATTGGAGAAACTGAATGAGAGAAATGATTCCCATTTTAATTTTGGTCAAAATCTTGCAGAATGAAGAATGCACTGAGGAAATGTTAGCTGATACTGCATGGTTTTATTAGTATTCTGGGCTTCAGTCAGGAGATTAATAATGGCCACAGACAGCGTCTCTTCATATTAAAGTGTCTTCACATGAGTAGTTTGGGTGAGTGCAAATGGACTGCAAGGCACAAGCAGGCTGTCTTGTCTGGCCCCAACTGACAATGAGTCAACACTTTAATATAAAGAAGAGACAGTTGGTAACAGTCATTAACATAACAAAGTGCCCTGTGGATCACTCTGAATTCATCTGACTGTTTTTAAAGCAAATGTTTTCCTCTGAGAAGTGGCCACAGAACAGTATCAGTGTTTTGCTGCCGGGCCTACACTCTTCTGCTGGGGGTAGGTGTTCCTATGGGATGGCCAGTCCTGAAGCCTCCTGGTTGAGAATGGTGTTTCCTTGAGGTGACAATGTGCTAGCTTTTTTTTATATTTTATCCTGATCTTGTATCAAAACTGGATGTGGGTTGATGGGTTTAAACTGAAACAAGGGGAAGAAGTCCTTCACTGAGATGTGGTGAGGGCCTGGCAGAGGGTGCCCAGAGAAGCTGTGGCTGCTCCATCACTGGCAGTGTTCACGGCCAGGTTGGAATGGGCTTGGAGCAGCCTGCTCTAGTGGAAGGTGTGCCTGCCCATGGCAGGGGCTGGAACTGGATGAGCTTTAAGGTGCCTTCCAACACAAACCAGTCTGTGATTCCATGACTCATAAGGTTATTTCTGGCCCACCCCATCCCTGTCGGCTTCCTCCACTGGACAGCTGTGAAGAAATCTGACTTCTGCTGGTACAGGTAAGAAGAAAAAGGAGTCAGACAAGCCGCTGGTTCTCTGTGTGAGGGAGAGGCACAGGCTCTGCTACAGTGCTCAGTGCTTGGCCTGGCCCCTGGAAGGAGGGGGCTCTGTGATGTACATCTGACATAGAAGGGGGATGAGTAGAGGCTGAGAGTAGCTCCAAGGAGAGAAGAAATGATATGAGAAGTACAGAATCACAGACTGGTTTGGGTTGGAAAGGACCTTAAAGCTCATCTAGTTCTAGTTCTAACCCCCTGCCATGGGCAGGCACACCTTCCACTAGAGCAGGTTGCTCCAAGCCCCACACAACTGCCAGTGATGCGGCACCCACATCTGTATGGAAATGGCAGGTCTGTTAGTTGGGTGCCCAGGGAGAAATTTGCTTGACTTCTTTACCGTTGTACCATTGTGCTGGAGCAATGTGAGAAATGTACTGGTTAAATGTACTGAGAAGCCATTGTGTGTCTGCCCAGAACAACCTGGTTTTGTCACTGCTGTAACTTGCCTGTGCTCTTGAACTATGGAAAGACTGCATGTTTCTCCTGCGGCTTCCAATCTGGCAGCTGCAGTGAGTTTGGATCCTCCTGCTGCCAAGTGGACCTTGCTCCCCAGCAGCCTGCCTGAACAGGAACCCTGCTTCCTGAGACTGATGTAACGGGAATGCTCAATGGTGGGGAAGGTAAACTGTGAGTCTGGGTCACGTTGTTGACTGGCAGCTGAGTGACACCAAGGGTGGAGATACCAAAGCAGCCTCTGGGGTGTAGTTTTCAGAGGCATCACTTCACCGCTTATAATCACATACCTGACTTCAGTGTTTGCAGAGGGGTCATCACCTGGAGGGCAGCTACAGGCACGTGGGGCACTGGGTTTGGAATGGCTGAGTGTGTTCTGGGACCTGTTGCTCATGAGCATGGGAGAAACCCCTGACTGTCCCCCAGCTGTTGGAGTCAAGGGAGCAGGAGGGACCTCTTCCACCCCTTCCTGCTGCAGCCACACATCCTAGACACACAGTCATCTTCCAGGGTGCAGAGGGGGAGCATGAATGCATCTCTTTGTGCAGGGCTGTTCTGGGGCTGGGTGCTCCTTCAGGGACGTGGAGAGCGGGCTGGGAGGCTCCCGGGTGGGACCTGGCTGGGAGAGGAGCCGTGGAGGTGGCGGGAGCCGCTCAGTCTTCACGCTCATTGACTTAATTGGGGCTGCGCTGCAGGGCTGAAGGAACGCGAGATGGACGGGATTCTCACGGCGACGGCCGGGACCCGGCCAGATCATTAACGTCAATTAAGTACCGAATGTGTAGATTACTGACATGTTATTGTTAGGGCCCTAAAGGAAATATAATTAATAAAGCTCCCCCACCCACACCAAGAGGCAGCTCTTTGTGTTCCCTGTGCTTTCCCCTGCCGGCAACGTCTATCTCCTCCCGCAGCCCCACGCTCCTTTTCAGCAGCCTTGGACAGCATTAACATTTGAATTAACATAAAATCACTTTCTGAAATCTGTTAACATTTATAATGCTGCTGTACTTTGCCTGATCATCGCGTTTTTTTCTGTCAGTTTGAGCTTGGTGAGGGTTGGGTTTTTTTCAAGTGATACCAAACATAGACCTATTATGCTGCAAAAAAATGCATATTTGTTTAATGATTTCCCATTGGTATCTTTGTTGCTATGAACCAAAGCATTAAATAGAAGATGGGATGTTAATGCTCTGTTGTTCTACATAATAAATTTGAATATCCCCTGATGAATGTTTTTAGCAGGGATTTTCTGAATAAAATGCATATGTGCCAGGGTATTAGCAATTACTTAAAATCAGTTTCTGACATTTAATGTTGACGTCTAAAATATTTCCTTTAATTTTTGGTTGCCTCTGCAAACAGAAATGATGGCATTTGTCCTAGGGAGGGCTGGGTGGACAAATAACACTTTTACTCAAAATGAAAAGCAATGAAGAAAATGTGCTAAATGTCAACAGTAAAGCATATCTTCTCTTCACATATTATGAGGAGAGTATACCCCAAAATAGACATACACACACACACAAAACCTTTTAAGTGACTTAATACATTTGAATGTTAATGGTTTGAACGTTAACCCATTGCAATTGTTCAAATTTTTGAAAATTGGCTATTTAAATACATTATTACCTCAATAAATTCTCTATGGCCACTATGGTAGCCATAGTATGAGAAGTAATCATCATAAATCTGAATTTACAAAATATCTCCAAAATTGCCCAGTTTTGCTGAGGGAAACAAAAGATGAAGTATATGTTATTTAACTCGATATATTTTGTCCTTGCAGTAGTTGCTTGT